CCAGTAAATTTTGAAAATATGGACACCACAGAGTCTTCCACGTCATATTTGTATGTTTTACTGACAATAGACAATTAGTATGAAAAACGAGATGACTTCAGATTTTCCATTGTCAAAATTCGAAAATTTATGTACATGTAGTTTTAGTCCGCTACCACCTGCATAAGGCGTTTGTGTATCCCAATTAATTTTGATACTCAAAAGCATTTTCTAAGTACGGTGTATTTTAAACCGAAGCAGGCTGCTCACAACATGCACGATTTGATGTTACATGTATTTCAATAACCTCATCAGCATTTCGAAAAATATTTGGTCACTAAAATGACCTTACAAGAAACTAGAGATACTGTGAGCAATGAACTCACTAAATGATACCCCCGACTTTTATATACTTATAAAGGCAAAGTCCATGTTTTGTTCTTGGAGACCCGAAATAAGTGACAGATCAAGAAGTAAAACAGGAGGTGCACAATGAAATTATGTAACAAAGATTCTGTGAAAGTATTATTAAATTTCATTACTTGGTATAGGAGGATTTGCGGATAAGAGTTGGGTACACTTCGATTTTATAAAAAGAATGGCAGTGTCGATGTTTTGCTTTGGGAAATACAAAATATGCGTCTGATCAAAGTTAAAATAAGAGGTGCACAATGGCACTCTGTAACAAAGATTCTGTGAAAGGCCTGTTACATTTCATTCAGTGGTAAAAGAGGAGTTGCCAGGATAAGAGATGGGTACCCCAAAGCGTAACAGACAGACGGACACCCCGATCACTGTATACCCTCCAAGTTTTCAAGCGGGGGTATAAATATAACCTACATTATGGTCATATTGTGGCTGATTTGTTTCATACCAATTGTAAGGCGTCTAGCTTTGTTCAAAATATTTATTATGATAAACTTAATTGCTCAATATACCTATGGCTTACGACAGCTGCGATCGGTCCGCAGTAGATGCTTCCTCCTATGTACTTGGAATTTCGACGGGTTTGGTATCTATCCCTGTTAAAAAAAATTGTATTGTTTGAAGTTTTTATGATATTGATCACTGTTTGTTAAAATATTCAATTTTTTTTTTCTAAAAGAAATCAGTACCCACATGTACGTGTATTACTAAAATAACTCTTAGTCATTCGATGGTGATTCTTTAAGTGATATTGATGAAATGCCGGTGTTATATTTTTTTATCTTAAATAATTTCTATATTTATGCCTCTGTAATGAACTATCTTTGTCTTGTCCGCCTGTATGTCTGTCTTTAACCTTGACCTTAGCTTTTGATTGCTTGGAACTATGACTTCATATTTTCTATGTGTTTCATAATAAGACCTTTCTTTGGCACCATCATTTTCCCCTTAAGGGGATGAAGGATGTATGGTCACGTGACTCAGTTGATTTACGTCATAATCTCTGATGAAATATGTACAAAACGAGATTGAAACCACAGTACTTGTATTTTTTTTTTTGACTGTTTATTTGTGTTCACCATCTAGTATAAAAATATCTGAAAACATTCAAAATTTCTTGCAAATATTATCAAATTACGGAATCGATTAATCCACTCTGCCGTTTCCCTACTCTGCGCGTCCAGTGCGTCTTTGACGTCATAGTGGATCTCTCAGTTCAGTAAGATCATACACGGTGAAAACGGGTAGTATAAAATCATAAAAACGGGCCATAATATGTACATGGTAGGGTATTTTGTAAATTTCAGAACGCAAAAAATATTTTTACATGGTTGTTGATGGAAAAGTTCTGTGGGTTTGTCTTATTTCGCTTATTTCAGGAATGTGTGACGTCATAGTTGGGTTTTCCCGTACTCGAGAAATGTAAACATTACTCGTTTTTCTCATGATCATGACGCGTTTAACTTTGCCCCGTGCAATATTAAGCTCAGCTTCACCAATCGATATTTTTACAGTTAATCAATACAATGACGACCTTGAACTTCGACGTAAATATTCAAATATTGAATGATAGGATTTTTTGCAAATTAATTGTTTTATGGTTTAAGTTGTCCTAAAAAAAGTCGTAAATTTCCGTCTCCAGATGTGGTGTTACAAAAGAATTTTGTTTTTTCGAATTTTTAACCCTATTCATACTCTAAAATATTTTAAAAGACACATTTCCGCTGGTATATTTTTTATCAATGGTGAAAATTTTCAATTATCGACCGAGTAATGGACCCAGAAACACGGAGAATAAAAACTCCGCTCAGACACTGTGGGATATGGTATTTGTCACTCAATATCTCAGAAATCAGTCTAGAAACCTATTGATATGTCTGCTTTATAGTATGTAGGACATACTAAATAAAATATATACAAAATATGAAAAAAATTAAATGACAGGTATTTTTTCAGCTAAAGGTCCTTCATCCCCTTAACCTTAAATTTGTATTTTTTTTTACAAGTTTTAAACTTGTCCAAAACTTTAAAAGTTTATACCAGGGTTATTTTTTAACTTGCAGCTGTATTCATTGTGACGAGAGCTTTCAAACTTGATCAATTTAGAAATCCAGTTGTGAAATGATAAGATTAAAAAACTATAGTATTCGAAATCTATTGGCCAGTTTGATATTAAACATTTCAACATTTCTCGTATTTCTTTTTTTTAAGAATGAAATATATGGAGATAAGGAACAGTATTCAAGCTCAAAAGACCTTTAAACAAAAACAAATTTTGGATTAGAGCAAACACAAACATTTTAAACATCAGATGTGGGATCAGATGCCATGTAGGAGTGAGCATCTCCTGCGGACCGGTCACTCCCATCTTGTGCTCCTTGTCATGATCGGGAAATAACGGGAAAATCCGTCCACAATTCAGTGTGTAAATAATGACCTAACAAGTAGTATGGATAACTTCAGACAGCATTTGACTCAATGATAAACTGTATTTGCTGACAAGGTCATTGTATCGACAACTGGGAATAGAACTTACGCAATGATAACTTTAAAATGAGACAGCTACTATTCTCGTTTCATCAATTAGATTGTCAATAATTTACCTTTATTTGTTAATACGTGAACAATAAGAGCTATTCGATCTTGCGTATCGAATCAGTGAGAGACATAAGCCCCTTATGCAGGGGAAGGTATATTGCTGTGTAAGGGAAGTTATTGACGATTTTCACGCTTCAATTTGAATGTTACATCTGGTAACTTATATATTAATGTCATAATGATCCATCTTCCACAAACAACTTCCATGTGAAATATACAAAAAGTGTAAAATTGTTTACAATAAATCACAATGTTTTGGATTCGTTAAAAAAGCAGGCTCCATGCACTACAGACACATTTACCATGTAAAATCTCTCTAAAAGGAAATGCCTTGTTTCCTGATAAGAAAACATTATTACAGCGATTCAGAATTTTATTGCAATTAACGTTGCAAATTCCATATTGAAATTTTGAATTATTAAACAAGCGAGGCTTTGATAAAATAAAATTTTCCATTTGGCTTTTTCTGGTTCTCTGGAGCAAAGCAAGCTCTGTAAATCAGTATGTTTTTTTCCGATAACTTCAAATTAAAATTAACCGCTCAGAAGGCTAACTAATTTCTTGGAAAACGCTAAACGAACAATGTCGATAATTTAGTTACTCCCGCCATACCTTTTACTGTTTTACTTTGATTGTCTTGTCCTACTGAGTGATGAGAAGAGTTATTTTAGAAGTTAATGATTTAGTTCAGTGTATTCTCTCTAATCATGGAGAACCCTTAATCAAGATCCCACCTTCAAAGAAGTAATAACTTACGGCCTGCGCAAGCTATAAAGTTACATTCAGCAGTAAATCGAAGATCATGTGATTTTCTTGATTTTTTTTCTTCCATTCTATCTACTTCTGTCGCATTAAATGACAGTTATGTCATAATATGCGTAATCAAATAAGGCAAACAATGCAAAATTTTGATGCATTGTTAGTGTTAGGAACATGTTTTAGGTTCACTGGTATCAAATAGGCGAACATAATGAATGAATGTTCTCTATTATGTAATTGGTATTCAACTAAAGAAGAATATTCATGGTTATTGCAACGAATCGTTATTTTGAAAAAAAGTTATTGTTTTTTTTTTATTTCTACTGTATATAAGAATTATAATAACTATATACCTTTTAGACATTTTTGCTTTCCCTTTCTTTTGATAAAGAGTAACATCATGAACTTCTTGAAAATGTTTTCGTTCTGTTAAATAAGGTATCCAAAAATCTTCTTATACATCTGTTCATCATTAATTTTCAATCTTTCAATGAAATATGGAGAACATGAACAGTATTCAAGCTCACAAGTCCATTCATACAATCAAAATTCAGTATCAGAGCAGAACGGACCCGTAACAGTGACATGAGAGCCATGATCACGTGCCATGGAGGAGTTTAAACATTCCCTATCGACCGCTCACACCAGCTGTTTGATCCTTGCCATGGTCGGGAAAAATTCGTAGACAATTCAATATATAAATAATAACCCTACAATTAATATAAAAAAATCATCAGAACTTTTATATTAATATTTAACCGAAGGTAGATTGTATTTGCTGACAATGTCATTGTATCAGTGATCGATCATAGAATATTCAATTTGTGAACTAGTGACTTTAAACGACTGCATGTTGATAATTTGTTTCATCAACTTATTTATTAAGAATATAAATGTTTTTTAAAAGTATTTAAGATTTTAAATGCTTTTTATAAATGCTTTTTTAAAGAAGCCAAGCGCCAAGGCCAAAAGGTAAAAAAGTTGTCCCCAATAAAGAGGCAGGTATCAAAAGGAATATATGTGACATACGAAAACTCTTGCTCCAAGATTCAGGTGTTTTGACCAATACAAACGATTTTACTGATAAAATAAAAAAAGAATGACAATCAAAAACTCAGTCTTGCACACTTTTTATGTAGACATACATATACAGGTAATAACTGACTATTTAGCATCTACGTGTCTTGATATTACAGAAAACGTGCATGTACACTAAATTGATTTACTTGTTATTTTAGGAGGGAAATTATGGCCCTGCAGGCTGAGAATTATGCCCTGGAGAAACAACTGTATAGCTACCAGAAATCTATCGCCCGGTCAAGCTCCCGGGGACAGTCCGAATCCGACGACTATCCTAAAGAAAAGAACCACTATCGATAGGAAATAAAATATCCGTGGAATCCAACGAACTGTTTTCAACGGGAAATGTAATCTCCGAATAATCCGGATATTATCAAGTGATAAGATAATCGAACCATACTGTAAATCAATGAATTTTGGGAAGCGTTTTATTATTATCATTCCTCACTAAATAATTGGAAATTCTGATAGTAATTTGTTCACTAATATTACACGATTGTTAGTTGTTGGACATTGAAAAAAATCATCAGTTAATATTTGTTACATTATTTGCACATGTTAAGTAGAAATTTATTCAAAAATAAATGTTTTTCATCATATTGCACAACAGAAAGAGTCGAGGAAATTTTGTGTTCGATCAAATGTGCCTTCGTTTGCCGACATTGATGAATGATAAGCTCTACAATGATGGCAGTCTTGCAATGGAACCACATCGTTTCTCTTTGATATGTGCTTAAGGTTTTCAACAAATTCATCACAGGATATGAGTCCTTGTACTTAGTCATATTTGAATTGAAGAATCAAGAAAATTAAGGTTATCGCAAATGGAAACATATTATCTTACATAATCTTTGTAAATCGTTAATCATGTACAACTAAAACGCAATCAATTTACTGTTTGTGAGGACAAGAAAAATCACGCTATGTCACTCGAAACACGCATTATTTTTTGCAACGAGCTGCAATATGGATTTTATTAAGGTGATTAATATATTTAATTCTTTCATTTAAGCAAGTACCATTAGGATACGAACAACAAAAGTAAAGATATTAATTAACAAGAAGTTGATATGTGCACTTAATAAACTGATTCAACATGTTAAGCTAATATCAATGAATTATTTAAAAAAAATTATTTTTTTGAAATTTCTCCTTTTTTCTCTTTTTAGTCCGACATTTATACGGTTTATTTTAGTTCAAACTGTAAAGAAATTAATACTGCGTAAAAATAACATTACTATCTTATTTTATTTAAAAAAAAAAACTGGTCAGATTAATGTAGTTAGTCTTGACCAGTCAACTATAAACTCGATCTCTATCCGATTTGTTTCAGTGTTTGTAAAGCATAAAAATTAACATATAACCTATTAGAATAGGTGATAACACTCAATTATTCAGATTCAAAAGCTGGGTAGGTGATATCATTCACTCGATTAGGTGATAACACAATCTGAATGGGTGATATCAATATATTTAGGGTACATCACTTGCTGGCAGTCATATTACCAAAAACGGTGACTTATTGTTATGGGTCGATATCACTTTTCCAATCGACAGTTGAGGGAAACAAAAACATGGAGACGTTTTCAAAGAGATCAGCACTTTCAACAATAAATCTTACCTAAAAGTAGACTCATTTGTATTCTGATTGAGTCTGTCCATGTTATAACTGAATAATTAGTGATGCGGTCCGAAGGAAATGTGTACATGCATTCTTCGACTTTTATTATGCATACAATTTGTCACACTCTAGATCTGTTGTGTTGTATTTATATATTAATATAAACAAATCATGGACATTTTATACCCTCACATTTTACTGAAGGAAATGCAACTAAACAAATCCGCGTTTAATATAAGTAATATCCTTAATTATAAAAGGGTCCAGTCTTGCATTCCACAATATTTCAAGTTAAAGACTACACCTTGTATTTCCTATAAATATACATCGACTATTGCTTCCAAACAGTTTTAAAATTACAAGAAGATTCTACATGGCCTTGATACCGAGATCTGAAACATAAATACTCCGTCGTGTTCTTCTTAAGTTATAACTAAAGTCCTGCTGGACACGTTATTACTGGTGACGTAAATATAAAGGATATGGAGATAAACGAACAGTATTCAATATCAATGTCCATAAAACAATACAAAACAGGAGCAGAGCAAACATGACCTCCAAAACATCAGAGGTGGGATTAGGTGCCATGGAGGAGTGAGCATTCCCTGCTAACCAGTCACACCCGCCGTGTGCTCCTTGTCATGATCAGGAAATAACGGAAAAATCCGTCGTCATTTCAGGTATATATAATGGACTAACAATAAGTATGAAAAATGTCAGTCAGCATTTAACTCAATGATAATTGTATTTGCTGACAAGGTCATTGTATCAATCATAAAACTAACGAATTCATGATTTTAACCGAGACTGCGGATATTCTTGTTTCATCGACTTGTTTGTCAATAATTTACCTCGTTTTAGAAATTGTTCATATGTACAGCATGCTCTTGCGTATCGAATCAACTGAGATACATAAACGCCGAATGCAGATGATGAAAGTATATTTAAGGAATAACTGTCTTATTTTTCGATTTCATGATGTGATCAATCGATTGGCTTGCGTGATAATTTGCATAAACGCCGAAGGCGTTTTTGCATAAAGTTATCACGCAAGCCAATCGATTGATCGTCTTCACAAAATTGAAAAATAAGACAGTTATTCCTTATATTTACATGCTTTAATTCCGCCAATCCACGTGCACCAAGCCCTGCTTCTGTCTAGCTGTTTGTCCCGCCCTGTACGTGGTTTTTTTTTTTTTTTTTTTTTTTTTTTTTTTTTGAACCGCGCCAATACATTGATGGGGAAATAAACTACATTTACAATTTGTAATTTTATCTCGGACAAAGATATTGGAAATGTAAATATTACTGTATAAGTAAGGGAAGTTGACGATAGAAAAGGTTTAGTCATCACGTTTATCATAGAGCTTGGTTGTTAGATTACCATTAACGTCTTTTTTAAGTAAAATATCCAAATATGAAACAGGTGTGTCATAATCTGTGGTATCTTTTACTTCAAGCTCACCAGGATATATCGTATTGACATATGAATGGAAATAACCATTGTTAAATTACAATACGTCGTCGATATATCTAAATGTTGAGTTGAAGGCCACAGTAAGTGTTTTCTTCTTTCCACCAGGAGATTTCGCACAAATTCTGCTTCATATAAAGACAAAAATAAGTCTGTTAATAACTAAACGCAATTGGTACCCATGGGATTCCAATAGATTGTTGGAAGACCTGGACCCTTGATCACTTATTTTAAAAAGGTCCCAAATATAGGGAACCCCGCTCCTTCAGCTGGCGTCGGAATTTCATAAATATTATGGATTCTGTAGAAGATTACGTCAGACGATACGCCAAATGTGAATACGTTGCCACTTTGTCAGAATGGATTAAATGTATCAGATCTATTTACAATCTCGTATTAAAAGATTGAAGGGAAATAAGGGAAATATGAAAACCATCTATCCTTCTGTACTCAACAATCCAGAAGTGATAAAAAGAATTAGATAGATTACATGACCAGTACGTACTGGTCCCTGCTGACAAAGGAGGTAACAACATTGTCTTCGTTTGTAAGGCTCATTATATAAATTGTACTTTAGAAGAATTTGGGATTTAATTCTACAGGTGGTATTCCAACTTATACTCCTAGTTCCTTTTCTAAGGAAGAAATTCTTCAAAATCATATATGCCAGTTTTGAATATGTTTAAGATCACAAAGAACCAAAATGAATTAAAACAACCATATCTATATTTGATTCCAAAACTTCATATAAAAATACCGGTATACAAAGATGCATAGCAGGTTCCAGTAATTGCTCAACCAAGCCTCTTTTTCTTTACTAAGATATTAACAGTAGTAAAGAAGAAACTTCAAGAGTACTGTGCAACAAAATATTCAAGAAGTGGTGTAAATCAGATGTGGATACTTAAAAATTCCAAGAATCTTTTGGACAATTTGAAATCACAAGGTTTTACCACACTCAACGGCTTAAAAACTTACTATTTTTAAACTTTATACACAACCATTCAGTACGATAAATTAAAGTCCAGGCTTTTTGATATCATTGACAGCTTCTTTTTCAATAAAAATGGAACTCTTTAATTTACTTATCTTTTCAGTGGTTAATGCAAAATTATTTTGTTAAAAAACATTCTGATTGTACACACAAGTACTCTGAAGTTGATATCAAAAAGATGCTTGAGTTTCTGATTGACAATATCTATGTGGTTTTTGGAGACCAGGTCTTCCAACAATCTATTGGAATTCCCATTGGTACCAATTGCGCCCTGTTATTAGCAGACCCATTTTTGTATTCATATGAAGCAGAATTTGTGCAAAACCTTAATCGTGAAAAGAAGAAAACACTTGTTGTGGCCTTCAACTCAACATTTATATATATTGACGACGTATTGTCAATTAACAATGGTAACTTTCATTCTTATGTCGATAAGATATATCCCGATAGAAAGAAAAGATACCACAGAGTCTGACACATCTGTTTCATATTTGGATTTTTTACTTGAAAAGGGCATAATTGGTAATCTAACAACCAAGCTTTGTGATAAACGTGATGACTTTATCTTTACATTCGTCAGTTTCCCTTACTTAATATGCAACAATATACCTTCATCACCTGTATACGGAGTTTATATATCTCAGCTGATTCGATCTTATACGGATGAACAATTTCTGAACTAAGGGAAATAATTGACAAACACATTGATTTAAGTCATCATTTCGTACGTTCTATGGTCGATACAATGACCTCGTCAGCAAATACAATTACAATTGAGTCAAATGCTGACTGATGTTTTTCATACTAATTGTTAGTCCATTATTCATACACTGAATAGACGACGGATTTTTCCCGTTATTTCACGATCATGACAAGGAGCACGGGTGTGACCGGTCGGCAGGGGATGCACACTCTTCCATGGCACCTGATCCCACCTCTGATTTTTTGGAGGTCCGTGTTTGCTCTGCCCCTATTTTGCATTGTTTATGGACTTAAATTGATCTTGAATACTGTTTGTTATCTCCATGCTTCTATACAAGTACCAAGTATATCCAGATTTGTATTGTATGTAAAGGGTGTTAAGAAATTTCACCCCCTTTTTTTGTTTAATTTTCGAAAAGAAATACAATGAGACGATATTTGTAAACAATAAACTTGATATTTCAAGTTTACCGAGTCCATTCTTGCGACTGATAAGGTTTTAGCTCTCTTTTGTTGAAACTAAAAGGGGAGGGCAGGTATTAAGACAGATTATGTCTGGGCAGAAAAGTTAGGGATTTAGCATATTTGTGACATGATATATTAAGCACACAGGTCAAAATATTCTTTCAAATACTTTGCAAAAATTATCAAGTCTGTGAAAAAAATTCAAAGTGACAAACCTATTCCTTTAAGTGATTTATCGTTCATATACCTAAGCTCATCAGCTTGCCTGATGCAAGATAAGCTATGAAGAAACAAAAGTAAATTAACCTGACTCAAAAATAAAACACTTTATCGGTGCTTTATAGTTGTTACTAGTATATATACTAGTATTTTCATATAGAAGAAAAACCCTATAATTTCCTGCTAGAAATGAATTGCTATATTTAGTCTAATCTGACAAGAAAAGCTATGAAGAAACAAAAGTAAATTAACCTATATTTTCACTCAAAATGACCCGTACTTAAATCACTTAATCGGTGCTTAAAGCTGTGCTTATAATTAAATCAGTAGTTCTTTGTCAGTTCAAAATTTCACGACCAAAGAAATCCAGTTCTTAATACTTTATTGCCTTCGAATCAACAACCCTTATGTAGAGTTGGAACTATGACATTCAAACGTTTTTTCGCCCTAACATAAAACAATTGGTTGTAATTAGGTCAACAGTTTCAGAGACCATGTAGAAAATGCGTAAACCCGCGAAAGAATAGAGAGACATTGGTAATCCTTGAAACTCAGGAGCCACACACAATGACAACAGCGTGATGGTGTAGGCTTGTTAAGTTTATATCTATTTCTTTACTCAATTTGTGATCTGAAGTCAAGACTGGCATGAATGACTTGTTTGAATTTATAACATAACATACACAAAATGCTAGATTTTCGAGAAAAACCAAAATTTTAATACCATAATTCAGTTTTTGTTCCTATAAATATCTCCCAAAGTCGTCCAAGATCCAATTCAAACAAAACAAATAAAACCTGCTTTATTTTATATTTTATTAGTTAGTATGCACAAAATATTGTGGCAAGAGAGATAACTCGAATATTCACTGCATTATTGTAAAAGAATTTTTATCAAAAGAAAAAAACTGGTTACAAATGAGTGTATACTAATTTAAAAAGTATCAATCCTGGTAAAAGAAATAAATGTGTAATAAATTGTAATTTTTTATCAAACACAGGCGCACTAAAGTCAATGATGTGTATAAAAATCATTATTTATCTCTTTATGAATCAATGTTAATAAGTAAACAGTGTAATGCTTTGTCTGAAACATGCTTTTATCCATTCTTTAAGAAAAAATACTGTTCTGGTTCAATTCTACAGAAAAAAAAAACTTTTACAGCCTTCACACATTCTTTTGAAAATCTTACTTTTCATTATCAAACTTTAAAGTTAAAAAAAAATTATGATTGTAGAAAAAGAAAACTTGTACAGTCTTTACAGTTTTAGAGAAGAGAACCTTGCGTTTCATTATCAAACATTCAAGTTAATCTATATAAAAATAAGAAAGAATTCTTGATTAACATACATCCAGTAGCAGTATTTGTGGTAATTAAGACAAGAAAAAAATCATGACTAAATAAATATACAAATATTTGATCACATCTTCACATAGGAATTGTCGTATGCAAATCGCTCACAAAATGAAAATACCTGTACTTAGAAAGTACATCCTCATTGATTTATATTCAAATATTTTCAAATGTAGATGTACAAAGCACTAAGTGCTGGCAAAGAATATACATGTATTCTATTCAAACAGCTTACTTTAAATTTACTTTTACATGATTTTTTTTAGTTCATTTCTTTTTTTTTATGTTTTTCAAGAAAACAATTTTTTGGTTGTAATTCATTTCAGTACTATTCCATTCCTACAGTTTATAGTCACATTGTTCATTTACAACTTATTGTTCACACTCAGATAGGACTTAATACTCAGGAATCCTCAGTCACTAATACATCATCTACCACTATAACTCTCCACTCTGTCCACTGTCTTCTTTCTCCTCTTCATTTATCTCCTCAGTTTTCTCATTCTCTATCTCTTCTTCCTCCTCTACTTCATTGCTTTTAACCTCTTCTTTCATATCCACATCATCATATATGTCTTCTACACTATCCAAAGTTGAGTCTTTCTTGAAGGATACCTCCTCATCCACTTCTTCATGTCCATCATCCATCATGCTATCTGCCTCTCCTTCTTCCTCTTCCTCCTGATCTATCATTTCCTCATCTGACATCTCATCCCCAAGAAGATCTTCTTCTTCTGCATCACTGAGCTCTGCCAACATCTGAACTTGTGACAGGTACTCCTGAAAAAAAATTAACAAAAACTATCAACCCATCTTAATTGACTTCAACAAAGTTTATTTCTTTATATTTACATCTCTAATGTCTTTGTCCGAGATAAAATAACAAATACTTAATGTACATTATTTCCTCATCAATGTAATGGTTCATCAATAGGCGAGATTAAAAAAATCACGTGCAGAGCGGGACAAACAGAGACAAGAAGCGGGGCTTGTAGCACGTGGATTGGCGGAATCAAGAGCATGTAAATAAAGAACCTTGCTTTTCGATTTCATGATAATGAACATTGGCTTGCATGATAATTTTATGCATAAACGTCTCAGCAAATTATGCAAATTATCACGCAAGCCAATCAATTGATCACATCATGAAATCGAAAAATCTGACAGTTATTCCTTAAATATATACAGTATATTGTAAGTACCGTATAATCCCTATTAACCGCCCCTGCCCCTATAAGCACCCCCCATGGTCTTTTTCAATTGTCAGGAAATAAGGGCCCCCTGTACAGTGATTAAAATCATCTAGAATCGTATCAAAATTCTGCCTAAATTTGAACAAGAGGCCCATGGGCCACATCGCTCACCTGAGCACTGTGGCTAGGAAAAAGTAGAAATTGGTTTATTATTGAAAAGTTTAAATCCAAAAGTAGTCCCATGACCAATCATGGCTTTGCTATTCTTGACAAGAAGATTTTTAAAGAATTTTCCTTTATATTTCTATGTAAAAATTTGATCAGTCAATGTCAGGATTTGAACAAATTTGAATCTACACTACCTGAGGATGCTTCCATATAAATATGATCAATTATGGCTTTGCTTTTCTTGAGAAGAAAATTTTTAAAGAATTTTCCTATAAATTTCTATGTAAAACTTTGGTTGGCCATTGTGGCCCCACCCTACCCCCAGAGGAAATGATTTGAACAAATTTGAATCTACACTATCTGAGGATGCTTCCATATAAATATGATCAATTATGGCTTTGTTATTCTTGAGAAGAAGATTTTTAAAGAATTTTCCTATATATTTCTATGTAAAACTTTGGTTTTTGGCCCCGCCCTACCCCCAGGGGTCATGATTTGAACAAATTTGAATCTACACTACCTGAGGATGCTTCCATATAAATATGATCAATTATGGCTTTGTTTTTCTTGAGAAGAAGATTTTTAAAGAATTTCCTATATATTTCTATGTAAAACTTTTATTGTTCACCCGGGGGTCATGATTTGAACAAACTTGAATCTAAACTACCTGAGGGTGCTTCCATATAAATATGATCAATAATGGCTTTGTTTTTCTTGAGAAGAAGATTTTTAAAGAATTTTCCTTTATATTTCTATATAAAACTTTGCTCGGCCATTGTGGCCCCGCCCTACCCCCGGAGGTCATGATTTGAACAAACTTGAATCTACACTACCTGAGGATGCTTCCATATAAATATGATCAATAATGGCTTTGCTATTCTTGAGAAGAGGATTTTTAAAGAATTTTCCTTTATACATGTATTTCTATGTAAAACTTTGGTCGGCCATTGTGGCCCCGCCCTACCCCCGGGGGTCATGATTTGAACAAATTTGAATCTACACTACCTGAGGATGCTTCCATATAAATATGATCAATAATGGCTTTGCTATTCTTGAGAAGAGGATTTTTAAAGAATTTTCCTTTATACATGTATTTCTATGTAAAACTTTGGTCGGCCATTGTGGCCCCGCCCTACCCCCAGGGGTCATGATTTGAACAAATTTGAATCTACACTACCTGACGATGCTTCCATATAAATATTATCAATTATGGCTTTGTTATTCTTGAGAAGAAGATTTTTAGAGAATTTTCCTATATATTTCTATGTAAAACTTTGGTCGGCCATTGTGGCCCCGCCCTCCGGGGGAAAAAAAATTGAACAAACTTGAATCTACACTACCTGAGGATGCTTCCATATAAATATGATCAATAATGGCTTTGTTATTCTTGAGAAGAAGATTTTTAGAGAATTTTCCTATATATTTCTATGTAAAACTTTGGTCGGTCATTGTGGCCCCGCCCTACCCCCAGGGGTAAAATTTGAACAAACTTGAATTACAATGTTTCCCCATAAGTTTCATTATTTCCTGGCACAGTCAATGTGAGAAGAAGATTTTTAAAATATGCAACCAAATTTTCATTAATTCCAAATTATCTCCCCTTGAATTCGGGCGTGGCCCTTCGTTTGAACAAACTTGAATCTCCTTCACCCAAGGATACTTTGTGGCAAGTTTGGGAATTGGCGGAATGAGAAGAAGCAAAAATGTGAAAAGTTTACAGACAGACAGACGGACAGACGGACAGATGCCGGACAAAATGTGATCAGAAAAGCTCACTTGAGCCTTCTGCTCAGGTGAGCTAAAAAACTGAAAATGAAACTTGTCTATTATCCAATTTCTCGGTGGAAAATCAATCATTTGCATAATTTTGGTGGATTATTATTGCTTAAAATAAAGTTAAACATTATTTTAGTAGTTATTTCAATTTATTTTTTTTAACAGATTTTTTAAGTTAAAATATGATATTGAATATTATAAAAAGAATATCAAAATAACCACCCCCTTTTTGCAATTTTCTAAGTGCCTGGGGGCGGTTAATAGGGATTATACGGTATTTGAATAAGCTAAAATTGAAACTACAGAAAATTTTAAGTAATATTCACAAACCTCATAGTTGTTTCCCACCAAGTGTTGCATTTCATGTTTGACAAGGATATCTGATGTTGAAAACTCCCTTTCACAGTATTGGCAGATGTACTCAAAGTTTTCCTTCTCGGTCTTGGCCACCTCTGGTTCCGTCTGGGAGATTTCAGGACTTTCCTCCAGCTGACTCTTCTCTGGTTCTTTCTCTATCACACTCTCCAACTCTTTAGTATTTTCTGTCTTCTTGTCATCTATCTGATCATGCTCTGTTGGTTCCTCTTCTACTTTTTCAGTACTGGTTTCATCAAGTGCAGCAGACTTAGTAGTGGTTTCATCAACAGAGGCTGAACCATTCTCCTTGACTGAATCATCTGTCTCTTTTTCATCTTTGACTTTTTCATCTTTGACTGTCTCTGTTTTCCCATTGTCCTCACTACCAGTGTCATCCAAGTTTGACTTCCCACAACCATCAGCACGATAGAGTTCTGCCACAAATAATGCTTCAGAGAGATCTGGATTTTTGGTTTGTTTGACACGGTCAATCTCACCATTCTGAGCGAGCCAGCTTGAGAGCTCTGGCAAAGGGCAAAAATGAACCCCAATATGTTGTGTTAGTAGATGTTGTTTAGACACAGAGTAATCACAATATGGACAAGCAAGTTCACTCTTGATCATGTGAAATTTTAAATGAGCCAGAAGATGGTCTCGTCTGACATTGGCATAAGGGCATCTGTCACATCGGTACAATTTCTTTGGCTCTATGTCCAGCTCAGGTGAGTTTTCATACATGTCCATATGATCATGGGTAACACTGACAGAGAAGGTTCCTTTCTTGTCCAAAGGAGGCAGGGCACTAGATAAAGCAACATCTGCTGGAACTTCAGACAGCATTTGGAGGTTAGAGAGAGACTGTACAGCTAGAAGATTCTGGTTAGGGGTCATATGAAGCTTTGTGTGTTGATTCAATAGGTTGTTAGAGGGTACACTATAATCACAGTACAAACACTGGCATCTCTGCTTACTGCCATGCAGAGCAACATGGCGCTCATAGTGAGATTTCTTTGCACTCGCATATGGGCATTTCTCACAACTGTATTTTTTCCATCTTGCAATTTCAAAGAGCGTGTCCACTTTATTGTCATAGGAAATGTCTCCCACATCTGAGCTGGACTCTTCCATTTCCTCAATCACAGGAGCACTCTCTTCACCATTCTCCATCTCCATTGAGAGGTCCATAGATGTGTCTGCTCTGTAGCTTGGCTGATGTACCTTAAGGTGGTGGGATAGAAGGCCTTTAGATCCCACATAGTAATCACAATGAGGGCACTTCAGCAAAAGGTTTTTGGACTTCCTAAATCCATGCATAAGTTGATGAAGTCGAAGGTTTCTCAGACGTAGATTCATGTAGGGACACTTGTCACAGGTGTGCATTTTTCTATATACACCATTTTTTAGAGCATACCCAGGCCTATTACCAACAGAACAGGCTATTTTCATTGGTGACATGGCTGGTTTTTGTGAAATACTGGGAGTAATCTTAGAAGAGATCATGCGCTGCTTGTACATGGCTAATGTGACGGTGTCTTGTATGGCACTGGATTCTGTTATGTCAGACTTGCATGGTGAGGATGATGCAGGGCTTGCGTTTCCTGGGGAATGTCCAGCTGCTTCATGCATCCTCATATGTTGGTTGATCAGTCTCCTGTGTGTGACCCAGTAATCACAGTAATCACACTTAAACTCAGAGGTTGACTTCTGGCGATGAAACTGTTTATGGTAAAGGAAGTCATTTTTGCTGTTAGTTGTGTAGGGACATATGTTACACTTGTAACGTTTTGGTGTACCACTTGGTGACTGTGGTGGAAACATTGACATCTTCTTGGTGGGTGTGGACTTTATGTTGGCAGCCTCTTTCTGTCTCAGGTACATGTCCTGAAGATGGAGTCGCATATGTTGGTGTAGCAGGCGCTTTGCAACAACATAATAAGGACAGAATTTACACTTTTCCTGTGGAATTCCTGGTTGAGGTTTATGACAACTCATGTGGAAGTGAAGCAGATTTGGTTTACTTGTCCTGTAGGGACATATGCTGCACTTGTGTTTCTTGGGGTCAGTGGGTTGTTTGAAGACATCATCATCTTTAGGTGGTGGCATTTTATCAGATGATGTGGAGCTTGTTCGTTTCTTCTCTTCTGACTGATAATATTTGTGGACAACATCTATCATGTTTGAGTAATCCTTTGTTTTATGAGTTTGACGAATGTGACGACAAACTGAAGACCTCCAACTGGCTTGAAAGGAGCAAAGTTTGCATCTAAATGATTCAATGTACCTCATGGAGTCCTCCTTATCATCAGAAAGATAGTCACTTTCCTCTGATTCCTCTTCTACTTTTTCAGAGTTGTTGTCCTCTTCTTTCATGATATCACTTTCTGCTTTCATGTCTCTAATGTATTTTATAGACATCTTACACATTGACATATTTTCTGTACCATGTTTTGCCTTAATGTGCCTGAAAGCGGAACTCCTATAATTTGTTGCATAGTGGCACTCGTTGCACTTGTAAGCCTTAACTCCATGGCAGGAAAGATGCTTTATGACAAGAAGTTTGTCTTTGTTACTGAATTTACACCTGGCACATTTCCAGATCCTACCAGAGTCTTTTCTCTCCAAATTCTTCATAGCATTTCTTCTGATCCGTGGATTATATTCGTATTCTGTTAACGACTTTTTGGCCTCTTCAGTCCCCAAGAGAATGATTTTTGCTCTTATAACACCATGCTTTCTTTTGATATGGCGAACCAGGTCACTTCTCCAGTTGGACCTGTATGGACAGGCTGAGCACTTAAACTGCTTGAAAACACTTCTAGAAGGCATCTTGGTTCTCTGAGATTTTTCTTTCTCAGGTGATTTTGGTTTTTCCACTGACTTATTTTGGTTAGCAGTGTTAGCTGCTGCAAGCTGTCTCATGTAATCATGGTATGTTCTCTTGGCTTCATCCTCATCCAGTGTTATAACTGTGGAATGCATATTTGGATGTTTCATTCTCATGTGCTTGTTCAAATCCCATTTCCAGTTTGAGCGATGACCACAAGCAGAGCATTTGAATGGCTTAATGTAGCCAAACACCTTGGGGTTAGCAGATCCAAGTGGTTTGCTATTAGGAGTTGGTGTGGACTTTCCACTCAGAGGTTCATCAATATTTCTACGAGTTGTTTCATTCTTGTAGTATATTTTGACTTCCATGTTTGGATGTATAAAGCTATAGTGTCTTTTCATGTCTCCTTGACTGTTGGTTCTCTTCTCACAATTAGGCTCACCACAGCGGAATGGTTTGTGTGCTTCTGCAGGATTAACTTTTGACAGTTTCTCCAGTTTGTTCTGAGACTTTGGTTTTAGTTCTTCTGGAGAGAGCAATGTGCCACTGGATCCTTCTATATAAATTATCTTTACATCCATGTATGGATGAATGTAATGATAGTGCTTTTTTATATCTGCTTTGAAGGCACATTTCTTTCCACACTCAGCACACATGTAGGGTTTATCGCTTTTTTCTGTAGATTGTCTGCTATTCTTTGAGGTGCTGGGTGAATCTGTAGAGTTATCAGATTTGTCATTCTTGCCTTTTTCATCACCTGCATGATAAACAATATCGATAGCCTTGCCATTATGAACCGTTCTAATGTGTCGACTTACAGTCCACCGCATACTGGATTTGAAGCCACATGCTGCACATTTGTATCCTTTCCACTTTGGACTCAGTGCATCTGCATCTTTCTTGCTCTCTTTGGCTGTTGGGTCATAATTTAGATGGTGTTCTCTCCTGACTACAGGCATAGTGTCCATGTAAGATTTGATAGTAGCCTCTGCTTCTTGCTCACTCATCTTGACAACATCCAAGCTGCTCTCGGGATGGTCACGCTTTATGTGTTTACGTATATCCCACTTCCAGTTAGCTCTCCTGCCACATACAGGACACATGTACTGCTTTAGGTTGGTGTGAGTTGAAACATGAGCTGATAGCTTAGAAGGAGCATTGGTTGTAAAGGGACAGTATTCACACTTGAATACAGTATCCTTGGAAGGGGATGGAGATACACTTCTGGAGTTTTCTCTTGAAGTTGCTCCATCATTTCCAAAAGAGGTTTCAGTGTTAGAGCTGATATTGCTCTCTTCATTATCATTATCTAGATGCCCATACATGTCGCTTTGCATGCTTGGATCTGAGAGGTTGGAGTCATTGTTTTCTGATAAGTCCTCTGCGTATTTACCATCTTCACTATCAACATCCATTTGGCTAGAACGACTGCCTTTTTCTTTTATTTTGTTCTCTAGGATGGTTATGACCTCTTCAATTTTGACACCACCTGTCATCACTGCTGGGTGATGTTTGAACATGTGTCTTCTGATGTCCCCTTTCCAGTGTGTCTGATATTTGCAGTAGTTGCAGCGGAAAGGCTTGCTATCTTTATGCTTTCTTGAATGACGGTCCACCTCAGATTTCCATGGTGATGCAAAGGAACAGGAAGGGCATTTGAACACTGCTGGAGAGGACTTCCTGTTAGGCACCATAGGGACTCTTAAGATTGGTACATTTGAAGGTTCCATTTTATGATCACGTCTCAGATGAACATTTAGATCTCCTACATATTTATATTGCTTGGAGCACTCTGGGCATTTATATCTTTTCTCTACAGAATGGACTGCAGAATGCCTCTTAACATCACTTGGCACTTTTCCAACAAAACTGCACTGTTGACATTTAAGGTCCTCTATAGTGAAGGGTTGTTGGTTAGATACATCACTGCTGTTTAGGTTGGAGGAATCAGAGTGGTAGGACATATCCTCCATTGCTTCAAGACTATCATTCTGTTCCTCCTGTAACATCTGCAGCAGATGATTTTTCATCCTTTTATTGTGTTTTAGCTTCATATGTCTATCCAAGTCCCAAGATCTTTTATACTTCAAGCCACACCAAGGACATGCATATGATCCATCAGGTGTTTGGAGTTTGTAACTATATTTGGCCACAACATGTTCTTTTTGGTCAGCTCCTAATGAGTTTGGGGTCAATTCTCTACTATCATCCATTTCATAGTCCATCTGTTCTACCTGTGCCTGGTCCATTGCTCCATGATTTGATTGGTCAATTGTTCCTCTGGTGGTGTCTATTTCTACTGCTGCTTCGTCTTCTTCTTCTGGAGCATGAGGGATCACCACAGTGATGTCCTCATGTATGCTGGAGTGACTGGTTGCCATGTGTCTAATGATTGCCCTATCATTATCACTAGAAAAGGAACAGAAATTGCATTTGTTGGCAAAAGAGTTGGTGTGGTTATTGCGATGTCTCTCATAATTGGGCTTGAAGTCTGTGCTGTAGTCACACTCAGAACACTGGAAGGCTGAAGATTTAGTCTGCCTCATACCTTCACTGTTTTCTATTTGGTAAGCTTGATCATACCCACTATCACCAGAGGCTCCGGTGTCCTCATAGTAATTAGAATACTCCATTTCATACTGCTGGCTTGGCACACTGGCCATTACTTCAGTGTTTTGAATCTGGGCCTTTATGGGCTGATCTCCTGCATTGCCATGCTCAGCTTTGTGGGCAAAAAACTCAATTTTCTTTGTTGTTTTAAAGTCACACAATGTGCAAGAAAACTGCTTGGCATTTAAGTGACTGGAGTTCACATGTTTTTGTACAAAGCTCCTGTCTGGATTATTGAATGCGCACTTCCTACATTTAAAGTTAACATGACCAGTTGAGCTTACAACTTCCTCTATATAAATATCCATGTCTACTGAATTTTTCATGGTGCCTTTGGACACTACAGCAACACTGTTGCTTCTTTCTGGTTTTACCATGGTTGGGAGTCCGTCTAAGGAGTCCTGAGATCTGTTGGTTGCTGATTTAGGAGTAGGAGTCTTGACAATATTTTTGGCTTCATACAACATCTCAATGTCTGCAGAATCAATATCTGTCTTGTGCACCATTTGAACATGTTTCTTTATTTTCTGTTTAAACCTTGAGCAGTACTCACAGTAAGCACAGGTAAAAATGCTCATGTTGTAAGCGTGAGCCTCTACTTGATGAAAAAGATAAGTTCTTGATTTCCCTGTGCCAAATCCGCATTCAGAGCAGTTGTAGGACCTGTTTTTGGCCTTCCCTGGTACATGGTTCTCACTGCTCTTCCCCTCTGTAGACTTTGGTAAAGCCTGGCTGTCAGATGCTGTAGCTTCCTTAGGTCGTATTCTAGAAATGGTGATTCCCTTTGCAGTAGCTGCTGAGGCAAACATAGGGACAGCAGACTTGGTTTTGCCTTTTGTCTTTTTGCGTTCTTTTTTGCATCTTACCCTATGTCGTTTGAAGATGTAGATATTTTTTGTAGCAAACTCGCACAAGTCACATTTGTGCAAAGGGAGACTAACAGCCTTATTTTTCCCCATCACTATTACCACTGGGCAACCTGAAAATTATAAACAATAACAAGGTGCAATGTATGATGATCAATGAATACATGCATATTTATTCAATGTCATATATACTATTTAACAATTATATTTTTAAAAATCTCTTCTGAGAGAGAGTGAAATGACTTTTACTTTAATTAACTACCCATCCCTGTACCTTTTATTGATACTAAGAAGTCAGTTATGTCCAAAGTGAAAGTGGGGTGTCAATTTCATTGACTTTTGTGAAAAGATTGTGGCTCCACTGTTCATGAGAAGAGATTATTAAAAGATTTATTTCCTATAACATTTTTAACTAGTGCTAATTGTAACGGGGACCGTTACAGATGTTCCCCAAACGCTCCTCAACTCCCTTTTGGTGCCATATTACATGTAACTGTAAGCTTTATTAAATAAGACAAACTCTATGCATTTGATACTTTAACAACGTTTACCCAGAAGTGTACCAAGTTCATTCAAATTTTAGCATTGCACGCCTGTGCATGTGAATGCATGTGCGTAATGACCATATCATCTTGTCTACACAATCTATATATTTTAATATACTAAATATTAAAGTTTTTAATCCAAAAGTATTAATAAATACACTCATTCAAGTGTATTTTTGATTTTACTCATTTCACGTGCACGCACGTGCATACATGAGCATGGTGACCATGCCTTCTTGTAGAAGTCCACTACATCTATCTATGTTCTAAATTCCACCCCGTTTGGTTGAAAAGCAAGGGTGTTATAGCTGTTTAAAGTTTCAGCCAATCACATTGCAGCGCACGTACACGCATGTGTATGCATGTGCATGGTGACCATACCTTTTTGAAGAGGTCTATTATATCTATTTATGTTCCAAATCCCATCCTGTTTGGTTGAAAACCAAGGGAGTTATAGCTATTTAAAGTTTAAGCCAATCAGATTGCAGCGCACGTGCATGCGCGTGTTTTCATGTTAATTGCTTTATATCATCTTGTAGGATATCCTTATGCATCGCTATGTTCAAAATTTCAAAGAATTTCGTCAAAAAACAAGAAAGATATTGAGACTTTAGATTCAGCCAATCAGAGCGAAGCGCACGTGCATGCGCGTGAGATTTTGCTATTTTGACCATGTCATATTGTCTATGCTACTAATATATCCTTATATTATGAGTTTCAAAGCATTTCATCAAAAAGGTAAAAAGTTGCGCCTATATCAATTAAATCGGTCATTTCACGTGTTGCACGTGCACGCTCTTGCAAGCACGTGCGCGCAAAATGACCTTCGTTCCGCAAATCTACATAACATGCCTACTGACCCTAAAAAGGTTTTACCTAAGTCGGATGTGTAGTTTACAAGATCATTCCCGGACAAAAAAGTACCCAGGAAGAAGAAGAAGAAGAAGAAAAATAATAATAATAATAAGAAACAGAGTAAAAACAATATGTTCCCCAACTTCGTTTGGGGAACATAATAAAACTTTGATACCTTACTCTGGTCATATCCTATATTTTTTATCCCTGTGGATATATGATAAATAACAACTTGAATCTGCAAGATCTGAAAATGCTTCGAATCTATGTCAATGTGACTAAATATAGCCCAGTACTTTTGGGCAGAGTAAAATTAAAACTTTTATGACAGAAATCAACAACAGAGGATGGACAAATCTTCATCAGAAAAGCATATACTCAAAGCTTTAACTCATTCTCAACACTACAGTCAGTTTTAGGCCATAATAAATAAATTGCTAGATTCTCATCCGAATTTTTTTAAAAATCGAGGCGGGCGGGCGGCTTTAATTTTATATTTTTTATTTTTTCAATTTTGTATATTTTTTATTGACCTGGTCAATCGGTGTAATTTTATCTACAATACTCAAATAAAAGTCATAGTAAAGGTTCAATTATCTCTTACTTCACATCATCACCAATCTTTTTCAACCAAAGACCCTTGTTTAAAATACATACACATGTATTACAGCAATTGCCATCTTTTCAGCTTCAAAATCATGTCGACTTTCGCAGGATTTAAAACGAAAGTAGAATGATAGATGAATACCAATCCCGATCAGAATTAAGTTGAAGAAAAACAGAAATAAAAAAAATCGAGGCGGGGGTATAAAATCGGGGCGGGCGGGGATGAGAATCTAGGAATATTTTCATTATGGCCTTACAAAAGATGTTTGTGAAGCATTTATGCCCCCTCCCCCTGCACAAATATGCGAAGAAAATAAGTAGAAGCTACAAATAATTCGAATTTTTTCAAGTCCAACGGGCATAACTCTGTCAAAAATTGCTTGATTTTACCTATAGAGAATTTGATCTAGATACTGTACTGTAAACCAACTATTATTTGTGCATCTTTTATTCACAATTCACAAGTTTGAGATCAATCCACAATGATTAATTTTTGCCAAAAAGGAAATTTTATAGATCTACAAACAAAGCAATATTCCCGAGTTAAAGTGGGAAACTTGCAGATATTTCTTCATGCTAATAAAAGTTAGTTAACAGTATTCTTATGATGAATCTGCACACCAAATTTCATTTCTGATCAGTATGAGCAACCTCTGTGAAGAAACTGAGTGGAAACTTGATGGACCAACAGACCAGCCAACCTACCAACCAACAGACAGCAGCAAAGCACTATGCCCTTCCTTCTTTAAAAGGGAGTATCAACATTATTCAAGAGATATTATTCAATTTTTAGTAAAAATTATATGTTAAAACAAAATTATGAATAAGATATGTACCTGCTGTATTTGTTTATCTATTCCGTAAAATGGTCTTCACAATACACAAATGGATCATGCTGACATCATGTCTGCAAAAAAAATTTCAATAGTGAATTATTTGTATACTTTAGTTTAACTAAACAAAGAAATGATGCAATGTATGATAATCAATTTTTAGTAACTGGTTAATCTCCTGTCTACCTGTTACGCTATTATGAGGGGAAATTATTCTCAATTGTGAAACATTTTGTTAATTTCAGTACAAAAATAAGATTTTTGACATTATTAGAGATTCCTTTGCATTATGAATTCATGGAAAAATACATTTACAGTATGTATGAAAGCAATGTCAGAAAGTGGTGAATGAATCACTTTGTAACCTGAGCAGTCTCTGTTTGTCTGAGAAGAGTCTTATTTTCCAATAACAAGGTCAATTTTAGGTCATCTGCAGACATTAAAGAATGTTTCCTCCAATATTTCATTTATCATTTCTTTGGTGTGGAATAGTAGGTTGCTCAAGAATAGAAATTAACTAATATGTAACTGTAAGTTATATTAAACATAACCAATAAAAATGCACAGTAAATCTGTTAGGATCTAATACTCTGTCTTTAACTGTCAAACCAAAAGTCATTCTAGACTTGACAGCACCTACATGTAAATGACTAGACATGCTCCGGCTCGTCTCTCTTTTTTTTTTCTTTTTTTTATGCTCTAGTGTCGAGTTATGGCCCATATTCTACAAAGTTTTTGTATGCCACACACTGCACAAATGTCCACCATTTAAAGCAATATGAGCTGCAACTTTGATGTCGGAATTTTTTTGTGATGAAAGTACATTAGCTTTGTCATTACTATCTTTGAGTGTTGATATTGCTGTTATATGTCTTTCTGAGTGACAGTTGCAAGTCACATAGTCCCAAATTTCCTCCATCACATGGACAATGTTGCTTACCGATACAGCGCGTGAGACTGAACATGCCGAAGCGTGGGTATGTTTCTAGGTGCAGCTTACTAATGTTTAAATGAAATATCTATTTTTGAAACCAAAATGATGTTTTTTGTTGAAACTACATGACAAGATACTCTGCACTCATAGTTAGTACACATTTTTGTAAAAACAATAACCTGGTTCCCTGAACCAGTTTACGAATGCATTTGGCGCGAACTAATAAAATAGTAGTACAGTTTCACTTTCATTTGCAAGTGTCTTTTTGCGATTAAGTTTCATGGACTTTTATTTTTTAATTAATATTTGCTATGGAAATTGGGAAATTTACATCTTTCTTTTGGGAAAAAATGTACCTTTTTGGCATTGGGAACGGGGCCGAATATTGGCCGCAAATTTAGAGAATCGAGAGCCCTGCATCCTGTACAATAATGATTTCTTATATAAAACTGTGCATTGGATTGTATTTAGAAGTCTTTCGTCTGCTTTATTTTCGTCTAATTGATCATAAAGATTTCATTTACAAACAAATGTATCATATTAATAACATCTTAACAGCAAAACAAGATTTTCAAAATTGCAGCTCATATTGCTTTAAGGAAAAAAGAAGAGCATGTGCAGATTTAGAGGGGGATAGGAGGGTGGTGGGATGGGGGACAGGGACACCTTGAGAGGGGCCAGCAGTGACCATAGTTAAACGTTATCAAACAAAATGATCCCTGTTTGACATTACATGTATCAAGAAAAAAAATAAAACTTGAGCAAATCTAGAAATAGCTCTTACTGTAAATTAAGACAGTAAAGACACTTATTTTCATGGAGTCAAATTGTCATGGTTTGAGAAAATATTGCCGGGTGAGGGAATTTGATTTCATAGTTAAAGAGGACACAAGTAAGAAATAAAGTATTAATTTGAAACATCTCTCAGGATATAAATATGAGGCACTCAAACTGATCAAGCCCAAAGGGCTTCATGGTCAATTTGATCATGTTATAGACGTGACATATGGGACCTCAGTTATACGGTCTCATCTGATGGACCGGTCTTCATGTCCTGCAGTGGAATTTGATACAAGGAGCAACTCCTTCTCTAGTACTCACTGAGCAGACTCACTAACCACTGTGCCACCAATTCAGATAAAGATATCTATATAAAGTATATAATACTTTTATTAAGATAAAGATTCTGCATGCAAAAATATTACTAGAAATACCAGAAACGAACTGCATCGCTGCATTAGCAAGACTGTTTATGTATCCTGATTATTATGCAAAGCAATACTGGCAACTCATACCATGATTCCATGGATTCATAACCCGATTTAAGTTCCCACTGT